ACCTAGGATATAAAATGTCACAAAACAGCAATGTCACAGCTAACAGCCTAAGTGAAAGCAGAAGCAACTAACTAACATATATGTCATAGGAAAGCAAAAACAACTAACTAGCATACATTTCCTAGGAAAGCAGAAAGTAATGACAACTAGATCCTAGAATGTTGGAGGCACTAACCTCAGTCTGGTAACAACTGACTAGTGTATAAGTCCTAAGAACAGCAAAAGCTAAACAGCTAAATCCTAGAAATGTCGGAGGCAGTAGCCTCAGTCTGAGAGCAACAGAGCAATCAACAAGACAACCATATGTCACTTGAGAAGTGTGTCGCAAACCAAAGGGTGGGATGGTCTCTGAGGGTGGCTAATGCAGCCTAGGGGTCGAAAACTCCTAAGGGCATCCACACATAGTGACAGGGGAAAACACATGTTATCAGGCTCAATGAGGGTAGGGAACTGGGAGCGAACAGAACCAATGACCCTAACAGATAGACCATCAAGGCGGGTAATGCTCGACTAAGGGGTGACCGCTATGGAGGGTCGACCATGCAAGGGAACAAGGGAGCTTGGTATATTGGGCGCACCTAGATGAAGCATGCGGGGCTGCCTATCTAGGGCGTGATGGCCGGCGAAGGGTAGAAAGATGATGGGTAAGGGAATCATGCAAATGACTCATAAAGTGAGGGAAGTCGGAGCTAGATCCGTTAGATGGGGAGCCAGGGCAATGTTACGGTCCCGATGCCTATGCGTATACCAAGGGAGAGCCCAACTCAGAGGAACCAGGCTAAAGGGAGACCATCATGCGATACAAGCAGGGTACTGTACGGGGTAAAGTGGTAAGAGAGTGGCGACGTCTGAAGTAGGCAGAGCTGATCGTGACGAAGTCCATGATGCTGCCGATGACGTCCACGATGAGAAGTCCGGAATGTCGTCTAGGAAGAGCCGCAACATCGACGAGCCGAAGTAGCAAAACTGGAGTGGATGGAGTACTGAGAAGTCAAGGACGTGGGAAGGTAAGTCAGAGTCAATCGTCGTATCGAGCAGGACGACGACGAGTGCGCTGTGGACGCTCAGAAGCATCCGGCTGCTGCTGAAGGTCTGCCTCAGATGGAACAGGCTCGACTTCAGCGGCCTCCTCAGCCGGGGGAGAGGGAGGAGGGTCAGTGGGCTAAGGAGGAGCAGTGAACCCAACACGACGAGCACGGTCATAGGCACGCACCAACATGCGAGCRTGCTGCAAGTGCTCGAGGGGCTCCCAGGTAGCCTCCTCATCAGGGTAACCCTTCCAACGTACGAGATACTCGACGTGGGGAGGGTTGTCGTCGGTGACTCGGCGACCAATGATGTCTGAAACGAGGAACTCCTCGTGGTCGTCCACCATGAGGGGTGGAGGGCGCTCGTATGGTCGTCCAGTGAAACGCTCAGACGGTCTGCGGTAAGGACGCAGTAACGAGACGTGGTAGACATCATGCACACGAGCCTGGCGTAGGTAGTCGGGCAGCTTCACACGAAAGCTGACCGGGCTAGATGCCGTATCAGAACCGACGGCCTGGAGGATGCGGCATGGGCCAAAGAAGCGACGCCGAAACTTGAGAAGCATGTCCGCTTCGAGCTGTAAGTGGCGAGCGTTGATAAGCACATCATCACCCACTTTGAATGGATGGTCCATCCTCGATCGGTTCGCAYGTGCTGCCATGCGAGTCTGGGAAGCGGCTATGTGCTCATGTGCGGTCTTCATGATCAACGTCATGTGTGCAACCCAATCATCCAGCGCGGGACAACTCGTGTCGGGGTGCATCTGCGACGGTCGAAGAAAGTCCGCGGGAACACGAGGGTGATAGCCGAGGTCGCAATAGTAAGGCGACATCCCCGTGGCTGGCGAGACGGCGTGGTTGTAGGCTATCTCCTCGTGGGCAAGATGAAGATCCCACTGCTGCTCGTCACGAACAATCTTTCGAAGAATATCTGCGAGAGTCCTGTTCGTGATCTCGGTCTGACCATCAGTCTGAGGATGGTAAGACGAGGAGAAGCGAAGCTGAGTGCCGTATACCTCGTGGAGCCGTCGCCAGAATCGACTGGTAAAGCGCGGGTCACGGTCAGATATGATGCTCAGAGGTAAGCCGTGGTCACGCACGACTCGGTCAAACAC